CTCATATATATTTTTTCTTCAAACTTGCAATACTTTGAAATTGAAAAACAGCAATTTGTTTTTGCATCCTCCTCTGCCTGAACACCCACAATGTTTGAACAAAATAGATCCACATTTGGTGTTTGAATTCAAGTTAGTTTTGGATCCAAGTCAAATTACACTATTTATTTTTTCTTTCACTTTCTTTTGTATTAAACCATATAAAACTGAGCACTTTATAAAAAACACTCTCACTCATATTACCCCACATGATTACATATAGAAATGTTTCCACATCAGTGACCTCAAAGTAACTAAGGATCAGAGTACTGCAAAGCTCTTTCCTTTATATTATACAGACAGAGAAGAAAGCATGACTAATATTAACTAGTGCTACTCAGAGGACAACGGTATACATATATATGCTCTTTTTTGCAAATCACATGTCTGAAAATAGCCATGATTTCAGGTGTGAGGTGAAACCCCAATGAATTTTCTATTTGCATTTGCTTAGTGAGTAATAATGTTAAACAATATTCACGTAGACCCATTGGCTGGTTGTTTATCTTTGAGGGAGCGAGTATTCAGTTCCTCATTCACTTTTTGTAAATTGGAATATATGATTGTTGCTTGTATGCTTGTTTTCTGCTGACTTTTAAGTGTTTTTAAACATTTATATTTTATTTTAATCTTTTATCAGATATGTTTACAAATATTCTTCTCATTTCATACATTACCCTTTCTTTGTTTCATTTGAGACAAATATCTTGTGCTGAATGAAGCCCTACTTTTCCATGTTTTATTTTGTTTCTTATTCTCCTGGTGTCATATCCAAGAAGACGTTGCCAAGGTCAATGGTTATATGTTTTCCTTATTTTTTATAAGAATTTTGTGTTTTAATCAATTTGAAGCTCATACTTTTATAAGTGGAAAAGTAAAAGATTGTAAATTGGGTCAACTATAGATGACAATATGTTCTTTAAAATATTAGAAACAACTATCCTATGATCCAGCAATCCTACTTCTGCGAATATGTGAAAGAAACTGAAATCAGGACTTCAAAGACATATAAACTTCCAGTTATAACTGAAGCAATATTCACAATAGCCAAGACATAGAAGCATGTCTATTGAGGGCTAAATATATAAGGAAAAAGAGGCACATACCAAAAACAGAATGAGAATCAGTCTTTCAGATTTATTCCTGCAAACTAGCATTACTTTGATTCCAAAACCTGACCAGGACCCAACTGAAAAAGAAAAACCCATGGAATAAATAAATAAAGAGAAAAATAAAAGGCAGACAAAAACAAAAAGGGAGATACATTGTGTATGTGAAGTGGACCAAGAGATGGAGGGGAGTAGAAAGAAGGGGAAAAAGGATGTAAAAAAAATTAAGATGTTTTATGTACATGTAGCAACTCTTCATAATGAATATAATCATTTCATTCTACAAACATAAAATTTTAAATAAAAAATAAAGTTCATTCAGCTGGGCATGGTGGTACACCCCTGTAATCGCAGCACTCGGGAGGCTGAGGCAGGAGGATCGCTGAGTTCGAGACCAGCCTGGGCTACATAGTGAATTCCAGGTCAGTCTCAACTATATAGTGAGACCCTGTCTGCAAAAAACCAAAAAAAAAAAAAAAAACAAGAAAAAAAAAAAAGTTCATTCATTAAAAAAAAGGAAATCTTGTCATTTGCTACAACATGTATTAATCTGGAGGACCTTCCACTAAATGATATAAACCAGATAATGCAATACAAAGACTACATGATCCCATATATATGAGAACTAAAATAGTAAAATTCATAGAAGCTTGATAGAGTATAATGATGGATTCTAGGGGCTCAAAGGAGGGGAAATAGACTTAATCAAAGGAGAATTTTTAGTTTCAGAAATGTAGTAATTTTAGAGATCTATTCTGCAGTATAATGTCTATACATAGTATTATATTGCGTTGAATTTTGCTTAAAGAGTAGACTTATGTATTCTTATAACAATAATAATGATAGTATTAAGTAGATGGGAAAAAACCTTTGGAGCTGAAAACACAGGCTCATGGCATAGATTGTGATAATGGTTTCAGAAGTATATACTTATCTCCCAAATCAAGTAGTACATATTAAATATGTACAAAAATGTGTGTTTCAACACAGCTCCATAGGTAGCTTAAAAAATAAAAGAAAATATAAGTTTGTTTGCTTATTTTCCTAAATATAAAATAATAGTTTTATTTCTATATCTTTTAAGTTAATTACTTTCCAAATTAAAATCAATGTCAATTCTGAAGTTGCTCAGGTTTAAAACTATTCATGGCTTTTTCCTGAAATACCCAGATGCTACAATAAAAAATGAAGTCCTTGCCTTGAATCAGCAAGGTACTTAGAGTTGTGTGTACTGGACCATAAAATCAATTAACAGATGTTTTTCCTCAGCTCAATGGTTCTTTCTTATTTGCATACAAAGTATTATACATCCTGTTATACAGATGAGTTTTTTCTTTTTCAATGATATGACAAATTGTGAGTGTAAAAATTACTTTGGCTTTATGTCTTTATGTTTTTCACAATAGAATCATTTGTTTTTCCATTAAAATAATTTTGACTCATTTATTCTATGATTACAGTCATCAGTGTAAAATTATAAGATGATTTGTAAACTTATTTTACAAAGAATTCTAGGTTTTAACTTATTGAGCATACCACTGCCAGTAGCAAAAATGAAAGCAGATCTTACCAGCAAACTAGTAAAAAGAAATACTCGTTAGTATAGAGTAGATATGCTCAGAAAAATAATAAATCTGCCCTTGTTATTATTTTATTACTAAAATATTATATATATTATTCTAGGTTTACATTAAAGATGATATTCCTGAGTAAATGCAGTCTTTTGAGTTTATTCTGATAAATTTTCTAAAGACACTAAGATAAAATACAATATTTTGTTGTTTATCAATTAGAAGTACCAAATTTATCAGTTATACATGAAATATTTTCCATATTTGTGAAACTCTAATTTAGATACAACACAGAGTAAGGCCTTTGGTGTTGCCATTCAATCTTTCGAATGGATATCTGTTTCATATAACTAATCACCTTCTTTCGTATCAAAAATACAATAATCAGAAAAAGAGATACACTAATTTTGGAATTGCATAAGAAATACTAAATGAAATAAAATGCAAATTATGAAAATTATTATGTACAATTTATGTCACAGAGACTGACTTAATTATATCTATTATGATGAACTGTTATCCAAAATTTAAATGATTACATTGCATACATAGCCATATACACATTTTTAATCTAGTATTTCTTTATATATAGTATAAACAAGTTACCTATTACATTATATTTAAATATCATGTTTTATATACATACAAGTGTTATACATACATTTATAACCATATTATATATCTACTCAAATTAATATTACAAGCTGTAGACCTCTATACATTGAAGTCAAGATATATTGTTGAGTTCATAAATATAGTTTCATAAAACATGTCATAAGAGCTTTGAGGTGCAATTATGTTTCATGTTCAAAACCTAAAGATGTGATTCATGTGTTTAATATGGAACCCTAGGGATGACTGAAAATAATCACAGCCATCTGTCAAATATTGAAATAAGTAAAGAAAATATAGGCTTGAGGACATTGAAACTTCAATTTATCACTGTGCACTTGAATCAAGCCAAAGTTTACACACTGCAAAGGTAGTATACTTATCGTAAGGAAAAAGGGAGCTCAATATGCATATATGAGGACTACATTTAAATTTTTTTAATTCATGTTAATAACTTGATTACTCTCAAACAGAAAATATCACTGAAACTGCTAGCTCTCAAAGTCAAAATTAATCTGCAAATTATTTTCTTATTTATCTTTCAAATATTTTAAAAATACAAATTTCAAGTTATATACCTTCTTCTGAAAGAAATTGAAACAGAAATGGCCACAGTCATGCTTATTGTCAATTATTCCTAAAAATGTATTTCTGTAATGTTGTGATTTTTTTTTCAGATTTCATGCAGGTGGGATTTTATACACAAAATGTTATTAGCAAATGTTTACAGGGCATAATAATAACATTCATTGTGTGGAGATGATGTATATACATAACACATTGTTTATTCTTAATGAAAATGAGTGGTTTTAAAACCTAAATTGGAGAAGTAGAAAATGTGAACATGATTTACATATGAAAACGAAACACTTTGGGCCACAAGATGTCACTGTAGTTCAAACCAGACATGGTTTTCTATGAAATTGAAAAGAGTACATTGGATTTAATTTAAATGTTTAATCTAGTTTTGATAATATTCTAGGTATTTTTATAGAGAACAACAAAATGAACTTAGAACAAAGAATAATTTGTACATAGAGAAATTTCATTTGATTTTCCAGCACTTATATGATATGTGAGAAAATATAACTCAATTCTTTATCATTTATGCAAAAAGAATTATAAAGAACAATTACCACACTAGCAAACCTCTTGCTAATTTAACCTTAACTTTCCCTTGTCTAGAATAGGATAATTGAAGGAATAGGATAAAGATTTAAACTGCAATGCTTCTTATCTTTGTTACTTAGTAAATGGAAATAAGACTAATCTATCTCATTAAATTGCAAAATGAGAATAAGTGATGGTAATTGCTTCACAGGTCCACCATAGGTTAAGAACAAAGTCTATATCTAGGCTTTAATATAAAATTAGTTTGTGTGGATATGCTATTGACTCTCAGAAAAATAACCAAACCTATATGCTCTAATACTAAAATTTTATTCACATTTTAAATTTGCAATGCATATTGCCTTCAATATTCAGATATGTAAATCTCACTCACCAATTACTCAAATTATACTTACTGTGCTTTATTACATGGCAAGAATCAAAGGTTTGTTCATTTAATTTGTGAATTTTTCCCAAAAAGTTTGATATTTAAACTACCAAAAAGTATATTCACATATTTTACCAGGTTAAAATATATATAATTAGACTATTATTTTCAGGTTAGAAGGGTAATTTGCCAATGTCATAACAAGGTTGAAGGAAGGCACATATCATGCATAGGACATCAACACCCAATCATCATATGCATGAAATGAAGGATCATAACTAAACCATTGTAAAGGTCAAATAAAATATTCGGTAGCATATTCAAAGAATATGAAAAGGAATGCCTGAATTAAATGCAAATATTAGGCAACTGATGTTTGAAGGGAACTGAGCATCCCTGGTTTCAGTATCTTGAGAGTCCTAGAGCCAATCCTCTGAAGATACTGAAAGATGACCATGTGTAATCTTATATAGCACCAAACATAAGAAGTCTCAGTGGCCGGGTGTGGTTGCACCCACCTGTAATCCCAGTACTCGGGAGGCTGAAGCAGGAGGATCGCTGTGAGTTCCAGACCAGCCTGGGTTACATAGTGAGTTCCAGGTCATTCTCAACTACATAGTGAAACCCTATCTCAAAAAAACAAACAAACAAAAAAAGAAATCTCAAATTTGTTAGTCACTTATTAATACTCCTGCTAATTATACAAGGTATTCAATTCAATAGAAATAATAAAAATATTGATGTTTAAAATAGTGAAAAATAGATGTAGAAAAATATAACTAGAAATATTATTTGTAATAATCTAGAAAATACTTAAAATATATAGAATACATAATGAAGTCCATGTTAAAAATGTAAAAACATTGTTTTAAGGGTATCATAATATTAATGAAACATAATATTGGAAGCATGGAAAATATCAACAACATAGTGTTGTTCAATCATAATCACACCACTTTCAAAACTGAATTGTTATGTTCATATAGAAAATATGACTAATGTTTATTGAAGTGTTTCACAACTCTATGTTTGAAATAAGAACATTTATATTGAAATGTAATAATCTTATTCAAAAAATGACTTAAAGTTTTAAATTGTTGGAAAAATACATAACTCTGATTTAAATGTAAGATGGTCATTTAAATATTTAAGCCACTATTTAAAATTGAGAAATATACCATTTTATTTCAATTAATATTATTGTCCTATGTAAATAAACTGAAAGTGGCAACGTGAGGGGAACAGGGTAAGAAAAAGAACATTGGACAGATGTGTTCTTGGCTTCGATGCTAAGATCCCTGCACTTCACCGTCAGTTAAGGTTCTGGTGGGTGGTGAAGAATTAGAAACGTGAGGGGAAAAATAAAACGTTAAAAAGAGGGCAGAACTAAAACCTAAATTCAGAATGTATTCAAGACTTAAAAATACTAGCAAAAATAAAGTCAAAGTAATATGACTCAATGATAGAAAGCCTCACGGAAGTATTTTCTGAAAGTTATCTGTTAGCCTACTTGTGCTTCTATGAATGATTACATCCTGTAATGTAGATCTGAATTATATGTACTTTCTAAATTTTCAAAGAAACTGTGCATTTATTTTGATAATCTTAGAAGTTTGATAATATCAGCATATTTAATATTAATATACTTATGTAATATTCTATAGTCTATATCCATAAAGTTTAATTTAAAAATATTGAATCACATTAAATAAAATAAGAGAAAGCACGCTTAGCAGAACATATAACCATAGCTGCATGATAGTAACTAGAAAACTTCAGTCTTATGTAAGTTGAAGTTAATTTCTTGTGTATAAAATCTTAGTCTTACCTTTTCATCTCAAAGATTCTTTGTATTAGTAGAACAATCAATTTTGAGTTATGTAATACAGTTTTGTAAAATAACTATTATACACAACTAACCAAGGCAAAAAGTCCAACTTCGAGAAGACAGCCCAGTCAAACACAATTGATTCAGAACGTATACAAATGTTAATTAGCCTCCAGAAGGAGAATTAAAGAGCAATACCACTGGGCACAGAAGTAAGGTCATGGTGCATGCATTAGATAATTTTTCATTCTTCATTGCTCAAAATTAATTCTTTGGCATGTGTCTGGGCTTTAAGAGAGATGGAACAACTAATTCATATAACTTCAAGTGATTACTTGACAGGATTTGCCCTCTGAATTTTCAGACAGACTAACTAAAAGGCAGAGGGCACAGGAGGAGAGACACATTGTGAAAATATTATATTTTGGATCATGCTCAAACAATCTATAAGCTGTAACCAAATTTCAAAAATAAGTTACCTTTGTGACTATATCACCAAGCAAAATGAAATCAACAAGCGTTGCTCAGCTGACACCACTGGTCTTGTGTTCAATACTCTGCACATCAGGTCTTGCCAATGAGTGGATCAGTTTAACCACACTGTACCAGTGTAACAGAGTTGACTCACTAGAGCTTCCTCTGGGATGGTCCTTAAACTTCTGTTCCATGTCCCAGGAGCAATTTATGAGCAGTATCAATTGTTACTTTTATGAGCAGGATTAAATATAGTAACATAAAGATGTTAATTTCCATGTTTAATTGTGACTAGCATGACTATTTTCTTGAGACTTGAAAGAATGGAGATTGAAAGACTTTAGGAGGATAAAAATGAGAATATTGTATATGAGTGAAAATGCTAGAGTACCTAATGAAATTCAATATATGAATAAATATGAGAATAATCATCCTGACATTCACTAAAATATATTTATTAACTTGGATGCCATTGCTAATAGCTTATTTTAATTAAATTATAAATTGAAGAAAATTTTCTTATTCAATTGAAGGAATTATATGATTTTGAAACACTTCTTATTAAACACCATATTTCATCATGAAATATTAATATTTTCTTTGAAATCAGAACATGTGACAAGAACAAGGGACATTTTACTCAAGTATATATATTAAAGAACCTAACAGAGTAATTAGATGAAAAAGCAGACAGCATGCAGATCTGAAAAAATAAGTCAACCTGTTCACTGTTCAGAAATGGCATAAAAAGCACATAAAAAATAAATTAATATACCAATCATGTAAGATTATTATGAATATTTTGAGGGAAAAATGAAATAAAACTAATAAAAATCATTTATATTTCTGTATAATAGCAACAAAAATAATGCAAATTTAGGTGAGATGATTGAAGTTCTAAATATATTAAAAAGCAGTAGGACAAATTGGAAATGTGCAAGACTGAAAATGCAAAGATACAAATGTTCCTCCACTTATGAGGGGTTATAACCTCAGTTATAATACCCAGCATAATTAAATATTTTATAAGTTGAAATGCATTTAACATATTGAATGTCCTTAGTATCTCAGTACAATGCAGCTGTTGTTTATCTTTGTGATCTCCAGTCTGACCAGGAGCTGTAGACACCAATAGAATCATGAGACACTGTTCTATTCCATGCTAGCACAGGAAAAGATGGACACTTAAGATCCAAATTATTATTTCTACTTAATAGATATTGATTTCCAACTATTATAAAGTGAAAATATATGTAGAATAATTAAATTCTAAGGGCTATACACACATATACTGTGTGTGTATATACATATATATTTATATTTAGAGAATAGTTATTAAACTTGAATGCCTTTATTGATAACTAGTTGTAGACATTTAGAATACATATATATATATATATATATATATACTCCCTTCTTTTACTGATTTAAGAGCTTAGAATCCCCTATTATGAATTGCATTCATCAATTTAACATCTCTACTGATTTGGGTAGTAAACCATGTCTCATAAGTACATTGATCTCATAAAAATCACAAAATATACTGGTTTTATAAACAATATGAAGTCTTCCTTTTTTGCTATTCTTTTGAAAGTTTTAAAATTTTGATTGTATGTATATCACTTTAAAAATTGTCAGTACTGGAGATGTTCCCTACATAGG